AAACTGAGTATGAGTGACTTGCCCAAGGTCACAGAGATAGTGTCTGAGGCAACATTCAAACTCAAGTATTTTATATTGTACCACCTTGCTGCCTAATCAGAAGTATAGTTTCTAATGTATATACTAATTTTATTATTTAAAAATATTAGTAACTATTATTTTCATTCAGAAGTGGTAAATTACTGTCTTTTGAAAAGTAGACAAAAGGTATTGCAAAATAAAGACAGTGAGTAGATGAGAAACCTTTTTTAGAGGAACTCGTCAAAGCTAGGTGATATACAAAGCAGTAGGAATAACAGAGTCTATCCATCAAAATTCATCTTTGATCAGTTTTATTTGTAAATAAGAAGGTAAATTTTCATTTGTTCTATAAAATGTTTAATTCATATGAATGAATGAAAATACCAGTTATTACATGTTTACTATGTTAAGCTAAGCACTGGAGACAGAAATTCAAGCAAATTTGCCCTGCCTTCAAGGAGCTTATATTCTAATATGGTGACCAGAGAGAAATATTAAGTCATTGGGAAATCCTGGTGATTGTAGTCACTGAGGCAGTTGCTTGACACTTCCTTTCCAGGAATGGTAGTGTTGACTTGATTACTTTTTTAAGGGCTAGAATTGGAAAGGAGGGAGGTGGGGAAAAACAGGAAGAGGGTATCATGGCAGGAAAATTTCTAAGAAGGAACATAGTGGGCCTGGTTTTGGTTAGGATAAAATGAATGTTTACCAGGGTCCTGAGGTAGAAAGAAAGAAGGAAGGAAGGAAAAGAGGGAGGGAAGGAGGAAAGAAACATGGGGAGGGGAGGGAAACAAGCATAAGTGCTTACTATGTACTAGGCACTGTGCTAAGCCCTTTACAAATATCTCTTTTGATCGTCACAATAACCCTGGGAGGTAGGTACTCTTATTATCCTCATTTTATGAATGTGGAAACTGAGGCAGACAGAGGTTAAGTGACTTGCCCAGGATCACACAGCTAGTAAATATCTGACACTGGATTTGAACTCAGGTCTTCCTGACTCCAAGCCCAGCACTCTATCCAAGCTGCCTCAAAGTGAGCCTTGAAATCTAGTTTTAAGGTGAAGAACAAGAGTATGGCAGCTTGAAGGTAGCCCAGAGGATGTTTCCCAGATTTTATTGAGTTAATATGTATAAAGTGCTTTATAAACCTTAAAATGCTGTATAAGTTGCTATATAAAGTATTATGTTGTTGTACAGAGAAATCAGCCAGAGAGACCCAGATACAGTTTGGAATGTGGATTCATTAGCACGGCTGCAAGGAGTATACACCCAGATCGAGCAGCCCCCATCAGGGGTAGAGCTTGGGTTTCTAAAGGCAGAAGCCACAGAGTAAACGGTCATTTTATCCTAACCAAAACCAGGCCCACTATGTTCCTTCTATCTTAGATATTTTCCTGCCATGATGCCCTCTTCCCGTTTTTCCCCACCTCCCTCCTTTCTAATTCTAGCCCTTAAAAAAGTAATCAAGTCAACACTACCATTCCTGGAAAGGAAGTGTCAAGCAACTGCCTCAGTGAGAAGTTACAGAAGCCAAACAAGCAATTGGTTAATCCTGCCTTTGGGACCGTGTAATGATCATGAAATAGATTGGGGCAGATAGCCTTCTTGGCGGGTTTTCTAAGGCAGGAACTCCTACTTCCGTGAAGGAGGGCATACAAGATGGAGGTCAGAAAACAAAATGGAGTTCAGTACTTCAATATTAATAATTCTTTCAAGAATGGTTTTTGAAATTAGTATTCAAATGTGATTGTTCTTCCATTTGATGGACTTGGTGATTTCTTGAATTGTGAGATTCTCAAGTTATAAAAGATGATTCTTTAATTCAACAAGCAACTGATTTTTTTTTAAGTGCTTACTATCCACAAGGCACTGCTAGTCACTGTGGGAAATTCGAGGAAGGACAAGATACAGCTGTTGTCCTTCCTGAGCTTACAGACTAGTTGGGAAGGTAACAAAATGCAGAGATAAAGATAAGGAGATAGAAATAATAAAAATACAGTAAGAGAGATACAAACTTGAGTGGTCATTCAGATGGAGGGATTCCTTCTGCTTGTGCACCTTGACTAGAAGTCTGTCCTCCCATCCTTCTCTTGAGTCTTGCAGAAACAGGTTTCTATAAGACTGTTTTCCTGTTCTCTGAAATTGTTCTCTTCGTAATAGGGGCCCAATCCCTTCCTACGTAATTCTTAGGCTGTACCATCTAATAAAATTTTTCCAGTCTTACACATTACTCTCCTATATGGACTCTGAGGTCCTGCCCTACTGGCTTGCTTGCTGTACCTCACATCTAATACTCCATCTCCTGGATATGAGCCTGCTGGGGATCCTCCTACCCCTCACTTCTTAGAAACCCTGCTTCTTTTAAGACTCAACTCAAATGCCAGCCTCTGTAGGAACCCTCTCCTGATTCTCCCCCTCTTGGTGGTTATCTTGTTTCAACTCTGTAAGTATCTCCTGTATACCTATTTACTTTTGTATTGTAACCCCCCCCCCATAGGATTGTAAATTTCTTGAGACCCCAGGCAGTTTTTGCTTTTACTTCCTATCCTGAGCCTTAAGTGGGTGCCTGGCACTTGGTAAATACATGTTTAAGTGGATAAAGCCTTGAACCTGGAATCTGGAAGATCTGAATTAAAATCTAACCTCGGATTCTTACTTATGTGACCCTAAGCAAGTCATTTAACTTCTCTATGCCTCAGTTTCCTCATCTGTAAAATGGGGAAAATAATAGCACCTACCTCCAAGGTTTGTGGTGAGGATAAAAATGAGAGAATTTGAAAAGTTCTTTGTAAACCTTAAAGCACTGTATAAATGCTAGTTATAGCCTTCATTGAATGATTCCTTTCTTCTTGGACTTTTTCTAACAAAGGACCTTGGTTCAAATCCTAGCCCTGCCACTTACTCTCTGTGACCTTGAACAAGTCCCTTCATATCTTATCTTGGGCCCTATTTACATTGTAAAACTAGAGCTTTGGGCCAAATCATCTCTAAGATTTTTTTCTAGGTCTAAATCTTTGATTTAATTATGCTAAGCTGAAATTTGCCACCTCTTTTTTTTTTCCAGTCTGGATCTGTGATTTCATTGGTTAACTCAAAGCTGGTCTAACTTTAAGGAATAAAACAAACAAATAACAAAACCCAGAAAATTGTAGCCACCTTGCAGTCCTGCCCCCTGCTGTTCTTTCCAGCTATTGTCTGATTTCTTTTCCTTTCCAGTGGAGCTCCTTGAGCATAACTGCTCTACAGAACTACAGCAGCCACATGTATTCCATTTGCTGGATCAAAGAGATTTTCTGGGTCAGTCTAGATTTCAGGAAAAGAAAGTATACATTTTTAACCCAAATAAACCTTCCTTTCATTTATTCATTTTCAATTTAAAAATTCATTTAATTTTAACTTTTATCGATATATATATATTCAGACATTTAAATAAATACATAAGAAAAACAAAGAAGCAAAAGAAGAACATTTGTAAATTATAATAGAAAGAAAACTTAAATTTAAAAAAAATTGATATCTTTTTTTTCCATCATTTATCATGATATCATTTCCTTGGATTTATACCTGCTGTCCCTACCTCTTGCCTTACATTCACTTTTAATTTTCTTCAAACTGACTTCCTTTCCACTTTACTGAGATTGCTCACTTGAAAATTATCAAAGCCCTCCCTCCTGCAAGTTTCCGTCCCTCCCAAACTCTATTCAAGTAATAGTTGAAGAAACTGCTGTGTGGGCTTGTTTTATGTAGCATTATATAAAATATTAAAAATCAATTTTACAATATGGAGTTTAGAACACAGTAAAATTTCATTGACTTGGACTAGCTTGAAGGCTAGCTTAAATAGTGAAACAATCTGAATTGTAGAACATTTTAGGAGAAGTTCATTTTTAATTTCATGCTTCAAAGCCCTTAGAGGACTAATTTTAATATATAAAAATTATTTGGAATTAATTATTTATAATGATTATTAATTATTTACATGTACAAGGATAATTGTAAGTTATTGGGAAACAATTTGTTGTTTTAAAAAGGTTGTTTCCCAGACATTTTTCTTTAAACTATTGACATTAAACTGTTGATCTTCTGAGCTTGCAGAGAAGGCAAAATGCCATTGAAGGGAGAATCAAAGAGCTGAGTTCCAATTACTAGCAATGTGATTCTGGTGGAGTCAATTTCTCAGTGCCTAAATTTTCTTAAACTAGATATAGCAGTGTATAGAATGCTGGACTTAAAATCAGGATGACTTGAATTCAAATTTTGTCTCTGACACTGGCTGTATGATTCTGGACAAGTTACTTAATGTCTCTCAGCTTCAGTTTCCTCTTTTGTAAAATTTGCATAATAATAGCATCTACCTTCTACAATTGTTGGGAAGACCAAATGAGATAACATAGAAAGTGCTTTGCAAACCTTAAAGCATTATACAAATGTTAGCTATTATTATTATTTACAAAATGTGTTAGATAATATCTTAGAGGACTGTTGTGAGAAAAACACTTAAAAAGAAAATACAAAGTACTACAAAATATAAGAGAATACTGCTTCTCATTTCTGTACAAGTGCTAGCATAAATTCGGAGTCAGCAGAGTCCAAATTAATTAATTTTTCCTATAACATAAATAGGCATATTAACTTTTTAATCAACCCAAAATTTATTTTTGAGAGCTATCTCGGATACGTTGTAAGTAATAGTTGAATATTTAAAGTTTCATTGACTACAACAAAAGCCAAACTTTCTAATATTTATTATAAAACTGGGCAAGGGCATATAAGCTCATTAGGGCACAGACTGTCATCTTTTATATTTGTATCCCCCATGTGCTAGACAGTCCCTTACACATGGTAGATACTTGATAAGTGTTTGTTAAGTGAATGATTGAATGAATAAATGGATGTGTTGACTAGTGATTGTAACACTGAAGCAGATTCATACTTTTATTTAGTCATAATTTAATCTAATTACTTAATTTTTTCTAGGTTTTATTGAAAACAACAGCTGGTGACATTGACATAGAACTATGGTCAAAAGAGGCTCCCAAAGCATGTCGAAATTTCATTCAACTTTGTATGGAAGGTAATAGTTACACTAAAGTTTTTTCTGTGGAAAAAATTAATAGTTGTTAATTTGGAAAATCAGTTATTGGTTTTTGCGTCTTACTCCCTTGCTAAAGGGAGATCTTTGGTAGGAAGGATTGTGTCTTAGCTAAACTTACTATATGCTCCAGAGCCTAGCTCAATACTTTGTACCCAGTAGGATGCTTAATAAATGTTTGTTGAATTTCACTTTGTATTCTTTTATAGAGATGAGAATTTTGTAAAAGAACTCTCTTCCCAGGAAGTTTCCAATTTAAGACTAAGTTCATTTCTCTGAGTTTATTTATGTAAAAGTCATTGCTAGGCATTCAGAAGACATTTTTCAGTAAAACATTATAAATTGCTATTACGTTTCCAGGCATACCCACAAAAAATTATTCATGCTATTATATATATGATCTGTAGTATTGTACTAATAGTACTCAGATATATTGTTTCACTGGGGTATATTGGAGAGGAAAGAAACAGTAGAACAAAGAGACCAATTAGGAGACTATTTCAAAAATCCAGGCAAGAGGTGATAACCTGAATTGTGGTCCTGACTCCATTGTGAAGAGAAGGAGACTGTTGTGACGGATGTTGTAGAAGTAGAATTAACAAGATTTGGCAGTTGATTGGCTGTGTGTTGTGAGGAAAAGTGTCAGAGATGACTGAGGCATGAGCCCAGATAACTAGAAGGAACAGAAACAGGCAAGTGTGGAGGAATACAGAGGAAGTTAATGAGTTTTATTTTGAACAGGTTGAGTTTCAGTTGCATGTGAAATGTACAGGTGTTGTCTCATAGGCACATGGTGTTGTGGGACTGAAGCTCATGAGAGAGAATAGAGATTGCAAAGTGATAGTATACAAAAAATAATTATGTCTCTTTCCTGATTAAGAATCAACTTCCTGTTGTGTCCAGGATAAGATACAAACTAACTCCTCTGCTTGGCATGGAAAGGCCTTCCCAGTCTTATTTCACCATGCTCCCTCTCACACATCCTAGTTTCCAGCTGAGCTGGTTTCCTGCTTTTTCTCACACTCTGTCTTCCCTCTCCCATCTCTGTGCCTTTGACTTGCTTTCCTCACATTTTCCTCCTAGAAATCCTCAGATCAGCTTAGGAGCTGTATCCTATAGGAAGCCTTTGTTAATGTCAGGAAATTTTTCCTAACACTTAAAGCTGTCAAAAAGTGGGATGGACTGCTTTTAGAGGTGATAGGTTCCTCCTTGAAAGTCTTCAGACAGAGGCTGATTGACCACATGTCAGAATTCAGTAACTTTGGGAAAGTATGTAGCAGTTAATACATTTTGTTTTTCTGTTAAGACTTGGAATTTCATCAGTGTAGGGAATTCCCACAGTGAAAATTCCTTACAATGATGAATATGCTCACATTAAATGTAACTTATAGACTTAGAGAATCATCTTGGACACTGAGATGTTAATTGATTTTTCCAAGATCGCATAGCTAGTATTTGTCAAAAGCCAGGGCTACAATGCATGTCTCCCATGGTTAACCATCTGTCCATTGTGCCATACAGCACACGTAATAGAAGTGTGGTGTGTTCTATGTGATCTAATTTAAAAAAAATGAAAAATGAGAGAAATTGTGTAAAATAATACAACTCTAGAAGTTTATAATGACTATTTCTGATATTATTTGACCTCTCTTTTAATTCAGCATGCATTTTAAAAATACCTTAAAACACTCTTCTAGGTGCTGAAAAAATAAACATAGGCCAGCCAATCCTTGCTTTCAAAGATCCTCCATTCTTTTGGAGGAGGTGGAGACTCTGAGCTCTTCCTACTAAGAACAGATTTACAAAAAGGGCAATCATTTTATATAAAAGGACACACAAAAATAACTCATGTTGAGGAAAAGAGAAGGGCATAAGCATAAAGGAGGTTATGGAAGAGGACAGTATAATAAATAATAACATTTGGAAATAAAAATGATGAGTCATTGAAATGAGTCACTCTGGACTTAATAGAATATCAGTATAGGCTCATTTTATGTTTAAAGATAAATGTGCATAGTAACACTGTGAAAATGAACCATTTTGAAAGACTTCAGAACTCTGATGAATGCAATAACCAACCCTGATTCCCATGCTCCTCTCCTTCTGACAGAGAGGTGATGGCCTAAGCATGGATAATGAGATATGCATTTTTGGACATAGTCAGTGGAGGAATTTGTTTTGCTTGACTATGCATATTTGTTAATTGAAAACAAGGGAAAAGAAATGCTTGTTAATTAAAAAAATAATAAAATTAAATGTGGATTTGTAGAATTTAAATTGGTAACTGTTATAATTGGGGTAAAATCTGACAGAGGCTGTTTGGTTGCTTGGTCGGGTCTCATTGGCTGAGAATACTTTGATATGGTCACATCTGCTCTAATATCTGGTCATCTACTTTGTAGGTTTAGGAAATTTAGTTTATCATCACTTTACTTGATGTGTAATCAGGAGATTGAGTCACCTTAACCACACTTTAAAAATAAGTATGATGTAATTATACCTGCATAAAGTTTGAGACCAGTGTATAGAATGGATTGTAGATAGACTAGAAGTGGGGTAAATTATTGGAGTAATTAAGAAGGAACAAAGGCCTGAAGTAGAGTTTTTCTAGTGGGGATGGAAAGGAGGGGACAGATTGATGAGGTAAAATAAGTGACATGGCAACTGATTGGTTATGAGACTCAGGAAGCTTAAATGACTTGCCTTAGTTAACACAGGTAGCAAATTGCAGAGCCTGGATTTTCTCTTAGGTTATTGGAGTAGTAGAAACAGAAACTAGATTGTAGAGGTTAAAAAGGAAGGAATTGGCTAGGAAATGGAAGTATTTGATGAGTTCATCACTGAAATGATGGTGATAATTTGGATGACATCTAGAGAAGGTAACCTTTTTAAGAAAAGGAAGACCTGAGAATATTTTAAGGTAGAAAGACCAACTTAATATGGTACTTTTTGAGAAGAGTATCAAATATGGGAGCAAAGTCACTGAGCCCCTGACTTGGAAGGGGACTTCTGAAGTTTTCTAGTCCAATCAGTATCTGAACAAGAATCACCTCTACAACCTCATTTGACAAGAGAGGAAGAATCTCATAGTCCATCTTGGTAAAATCTCAAATGATTTCTTTTCAGGTTATTATGACAACACAATATTTCATAGGGTTGTACCTGGTTTTATAGTCCAAGGAGGAGATCCCACTGGTACTGGAACTGGTGGAGAGTCTATCTATGGAGCCGCTTTCAAGGTGAGCTTTGATTTGCTTATTTTGGTTATTATTTTCTAGAGCATCATTTATCTACTATCTCTTCAATATGAGATTTACAGGCTTCTGCCATTATTCCTCTGGCTTACTTCACTTGTCATCAGGTTATCTTAACCTGAATTTTCTGAAATTATCACTTTCATTGCTTCTTTTTTTTTTTTTTTTGGCTAGGCAGTGGGGTTAAGTGACTTTCCCAGGGACACACAGCTAGTAAGTGTTATGTGTCTGAGGCCAGATTTGAACTCAGGTCCTTCTGAATTCAGGGCTGGTGCTCTATCCACTGCGCCACTTAGCTGCCCCCATCATTACTTCTTACAGGATAACAATATTCCATTACACACACATAGCACCATTTGCTCAACCATTTCCTATTTGATTGGTATCCCCTTAGATTCTTGCCCCCCCCTTTTTTTTCCTTTTAATCCCCTTATTAGGATCAGGAAGTTTGTATTGCTTATTCTATCTCTGATATTATATTGTCCTCTACTTTGGCCCCTCCCACCCCCAGTTCCCACTTTTTTCACTGTTGAGTTTTATATATTTCTACTCCAAATTATGTTTGTTATGAGTGTTTCTGTTTTCAACCCTTATTTGTCCATTTCAGATAAGAGTGGTCCTATTATCTGCTGCCTATTATCCCCACTCCTTTCATATTATGTAATCTTCTCAAGCACCCCAAATATGAGAGTTAGCAAGTTCCACTCCCTTTTCCTTCCTTTCCATACTGGGGTATTTTTTTTACTCTCCTTTCTCTTTCTCTTCTGCAAACCCTTAGGACAGAACCAATCCACCTCCAGGTCATTTCTTTTTCTTACTTAACTCCTTAATATCCTTTGAAGACATTAAAGTTCTAAAGGGATATTTATTTCTTTTCCTTTATTAGAGTGTTAGCACTGTATCATTATAGCACCTTCCAATTGCTCACATGAATTTGCCTTTCTTTGGTTGTAAGCCTTTATCTTTTCCAAAAAAACAAAGGCCTTTTGGAATTTATATTCTAAGCTCTCTTCTCATTCATTTATAATTTCTTAAAATATAGTGCACAGATTTTTTTAAAAAAAATATGGTTCTTAGGAAGTCCAATGATTCTTAAATTACTTCTTTTTGACCTGTTTTTCAGGTTTCTGAAATCAGATATCTTACATATTCTTTTATTTTTTTCAATCTTTTAATTTTGTTCTTATATTCTTTGCTGTTTCATGTAATCATTGATTTCTCTTTGTTCTGTTGTAGTTTTCATGAAGTCCATTACTTGGGTAAGATTTACCACTTTCCCTTATAAACTACTTCTTGTTCTGTTTTCAGTCATGTCTGACCCTTCATGATCCCACTTGGGGTTTTCTTGTCAGAGATACTGCAGTGGTTTGCCTTTTCCTTCTTCAGCTCATTTTATAGATGAGGCAAATAGAGTTAAGTGACTTGCCCAGAGTAATCCAGCTAGTAAGTGTCTGAGGCCAGATTTGAACACAGGAAGATGTCTTCCTGACTTCAGGGCCAGCACTCTATCCACTGCACCACCAATGCAGGATTTCATATTCGTTGAGACACATCTCCCATCCTTATGAAGCTCATATGCATCTCCCCTTAATAAAACAATTATGCAGGGTATTCCACACCTTTGTTTTTCATTCTTGTTAAGTTTCATTGGCGTAGTCTTGCACATACCCAAGCCCAAGATTTGTGTGGGGTAGTGACTATTTCCGTTGACCTGATGATAATTTTTTTTTAGACAAGCAGAGTTAAGTGACTTGCCCAGGGTCACAGAGCTAGTAAGTCTGAGACCAGACTTGAACTCAGGTCCTCCTGACTCTAGGACCTGTGTACTATCCACTGTGCCAACTTAGCTTCCCCGCCCCCCCCTTTTTAAATTTTGGCTAGGATTCTGATCTCTCTCTTTTTTCTTTTGGTGAGGCAGTTGTGGCTAAGTGACTTGCCCAAGGTCACAAAGCTAGTACGTGTCAGGTGTTTGGTCTGAGACCAGATTTGAACTCAGGTCCTGCTGACTTCAGGGCCAGTGCTCTATCCACTTCGCTACCTAGCTGCCCCTAGAATGGAGATTCTGAACCTGGAGTCTATGAACTTGTTTGTTTTTGGATAGGATAAATCTTTGATTTCAGCAATGTATGTATTCTCTTTAGTGATACAGATTGCAACCCATCAATATCTTTTCATCCTGTATATCTCTTGTTCATGTCCTTCAGTAAATCTTCCTCCAGGGATTCACCTATGCAGAAATGCTCATGTATTCTTCTAGGTTTCTTGATATTTAGTATTCATCCATTGGTTGGTTCTTCCTTGTTCTTGCTATTCGGACTCAGTTCAATTCAGTAATGTTTATTAGGCGTTTATTGTTTAGAAGGCACTGTGCTTTCCTTAGTTGCTAGGAATACACAGATTCTGCCTTCAAGGAGTTTATAATCTCCAGCTTTAATCAATTAGCCTCCCCATCCCTATGTTGCTCTAAGGCTTAGTACTTTTCTGTTTCCATGTGGAAATGGGTTGTACTTTTTCCAGCTATAAACAATAGATTTTTCTCTTTTTCTTTTCTCTTTGAGGAAGGGAGAATAATGCCAAGTTATCAGAGAGTTGTCATCTAAACCTCTATCTGCATTCAAAACTTTTCACAACCTGCTTTCCTCCCACTTTTCCAGTCTAATTACACCTTACTCCCCACCCTGTGCTTTGTGATTCAGTGACACTGGCCTCCTTGCTATTCTTTGACACAAAACACTCCATCTCCAGACTCTGGGCATTTTCACTGGCTGTCTTTCATATCTGGGATTCTCTCTCTCTTCAGCTTTACCCCCTGGCTTCTTTCAAGTCCCACCTAAAGTCCCACCTTCTATAAGAATCCTCTTTTCATTATTTTTCACTTATACTGTCAATAGCTTGTTTGCATACACTTGTTTTCATATTGTCATTGTCTCTTCCATTAGATTGTGAGCTCCTTGAGAGCAAGGATTGTCATAGTAGGGTCTTAAATGAATATTGATTGATTAACTGACTAACTACCTGGCCTTTAAACTAGAGGTTTGGGCAGTCCAGAGGAAGAAAGAGATAACCCCTTTTTCTGTTTTGCTTCTAATCTCTTAGTGATTACTTTGCCTTGGTTTTAAAGTCAATTTGCCCTAGAATCCTCATTTCACAGCTTTAAACCTCAGGGGTCTTTCTGATCTCAGGCATCCATACCATGCTCAGGCCTGTTGTAGTGTCAACTACACACCAATTTTAGTTTTTATAGATGGTGCTTAGACTACTGGGAAGCAGATTTTCCATTTGTAATATTGTTGCTTTGGAATTAACTTCCACCTTTGCAACTTTGTTTCAGGAAAGTGTTTTCTTTGAACCAATTAATGATGTAAGGTAGGCTATGAAAGGAGCAGTCATTTAGTCAGAATTTCATAAATGATCGCACTTAAAACTGAGAAAGCTTTTCTGTTCTTAGCAGAGGCAAATTATTTGATTCTATGATGGAATTGAGCCCAGGTATAAGGTGATGATAGGAAAAGATGATGGTTCAGAAATGAAGAATGTATCAGTTGCAGTGAAATCTGGCTTCATTTGATTTCTTCAGATAAAGAAAAATGGAAAGCTTTTGGATATTGTGTATGACATTTTATTTTCAACAGTTTTACTTTAGCTTTAAAGTGCATCTATTTAACTTTGCTAATTTTGTGTGATAGTGTGCCATAACACAGAATACATGCCAAAAAAAGAAATCAAATAAGAACAATAAAGCCTATGGCAAGAATAAAAACCCCAAACTTGGATTTCAAAGAAAAAAGAAAATAATGATCAAGAATAGACTAGTGATTTTTTAAACCACTAACATAAATTTAAAAGAAAAAAGAATTGATGATGTTTGCATTTAGGGGAATGAGAATGACAGAATTACTTAGAAGTTTATTCTATTTCTATATTATTCCCATAGTTCTCCTTTAAATGAGGAAGGATCAGCAAATTTTTTTTTAAACCCAAAGACCCTTGTATTGAGAGTTCTGTGGGCCAGTAATTGCACTTAGATTCCTAGGGCCTTGAAGGCCTCCACTCTTTACAAGCCAGATGAATGTGGGAAAATCGATGTGCAAAATACTACGTTAGCTCTTACTAATCATCACACAATGTTGCTGATACTGTATACAATGTTTTCGTGGTTCTGCTCTTTTCACTTTGCATTAGTTCATAAAGTCTTTCCCTGTTTTTCTGAAATGTGCTGTCCATCATTTCTTATTGCACAATAGTATTCCATGACATTCTTATACTACAGCTTGTTCAGCCATTCTGCAATTGATGGGCATCCCCTTAATTTCCAATATTTTACCACCATGAAAATATTTTTGCACAGGTAGGTCCCTCCCCCCCTTTTTAAAAAGTTATTTATTTATTTTTAGTTTTTAACATTCACTTTTATAAGATTTTGAGTTTTAAATTTTCTCCTTCTCCTTCCCCTTCCCCCTCCCCAAGTTGGCTGCATTTGATATAGGTCATACATGTACAATCATATTAAACATATTTCCACCAAATGGTAACATCTTGTGTGGTATATGATGTAAGTATTTCAGACAGAGTTGTGGAATTAAAAATTATTGAGGTGGATTGAGAATTATCAGTTTTTAAAAGGGAACTTCTCTTTGAAGAAACACTTGCTATTAATGAGTCCCAGCCTTTGTCCCTACCCCCCAGAAAAAATGTAAATTCCTTAAGAGTAGGAGCTGCTTTTTGTCTTTGTACCCCTAGCTAGATGTTGCATATACAACTTAACACTTTTTTCTGTATACTACTTAACACTTTTGTAGTACTGAATTTAAGTCAATTGCCTATTAACTATTAGGTTAATGAAATAAATGAAATATTATAGCTCATATTTAGAAAAAAGACACATTTTTAGACAAATTAGCCCATCTGAATATTGGAGGATGAGATCATACCAAGTGTATAGAAAGGTTTAAACAAAGAAAATGCTATACATGCATTTAAAAAATAAGCCAACTGCTCATTTGCCACTGTAAATAGAGGAGAAGGGAAGGATAGGCAGTTTCTTGGGTCACTAAAGAGTAATGGGGATGTAACAAATGCTACGCTTAACTTGGATGACAGAATAATTTAGTAAATGTATTCAGACACCCATGCACTCTCCACAGATCTGTGAGCATCCTAAATATATAACATGCTGCTGTTTGATAGGTGTGTATTTATTAGTGAGAGGACCCTAAAAGGCAATACCCTTCTTACTTGGCAAACTCTTCTGAATGGATCTTTGATACCATCCCCTCTCATCTTCTTCAGCAGATTACTCCCTCTATCTTGTCTTTATTCTCTGTCCAATTTTCAATCTCTTCTTAGCTATTGACTCCTTTCCTTCTTGCTATAAGTATGCCCATGGCTCTCCTGATCTTTAAAAACTCACTTGATCTGGCCATCCCTGCTAGGTGACTTGCTATATCTCTCTTTCCCTTCTTTGCTGAACTCCTTGAGAACACCTGTATGTTAAGTGTTTCTAATTCTTCTTCTCTCACTCTAAACTCTGGATAGTCTGTTTTCTGCTATCAACTGAAATTGCCTTCTCCAAAATTATTGTTTTCTTATCACCAAATCTGATGACCTGTTTTCAGTCCTCATCCTTCTTGATCTTTCTGCAGCACTTGACACTTTTTTCCTTAGGATGCTTTTTACTCTCTAAATTTCATGACACTGCTCTCTCCTAGTTCTTTTTCTATTTGTCCAACCACTCCTCAGTTTCCTGTGCTTGGCCCTCTACTTTTTTCCATCATGTTTTCTCTCATTTGGTGATCTCATCAGTTCCCATCATGTCCATTATCATCTCTATGGTGATGATTCCCAGAGCTATTCATCCAGCTGATGTCTTTCACCTGAATTTTAGTTTCATATTACCATCTCGAACTGGATGTTCTGCAAAACACATCCAAAACAGAACTCATTATTTTTTTCTCCCAAACTTTCCTGTTACTATCAAGGTAACTATCTTCTCAGTCACTCAGGCTTGCAACCTCAATGTCATTTTAGATTCCTTATTCTGATTCACACCATATTTCCTATCTGTTGACAAATCTTACCATTTTTGCATTCTCAACATTTCTCAAATATATCCTCTTCTCTCTGCTCATACAGCCACCACACTAGTTCAGGCCCTTATCATCTCTTGCCTGGATTATAGCAATAGCCTTCTGATTGATCTCCCTGCCTCAAGTCTCTTCCCACTCTAATCTTTTGCTACTCAGTGGTCAAAGTGATTTTCCTAAAGTATAGGTCTGATCATGTCATCTCTTCTCTCCTCTGCCTACCAACTCAGTAAACTCCAGTGACTCCTGATTACCACAGATAAAAAATCCCCTTTTTGGCATTTAAATCTCTTGTCAAGCTGGTCTCTTCCTACATTTCCAAGAGATGTTGTTACTAATGATAAGTAAATATAGACTTTTGTCATACTTGAAAATCAGTTCCATTAAAAAAAAAGGAATTTTGAATAGAAAATAAAATTTATGTAGGATTTTGCCAACCAAATGAACATTGACTAAACTGATCTTATACATTTAATCTTTTCTTTTTTCTGCTACAGGATGAATTTCACTCACGATTGCGTTTTAATCGGAGGGGACTGGTTGCCATGGCAAATGCTGGACCTCATGATAATGGCAGCCAATTTTTCTTTACCTTGGGTCGTGCAGATGAACTTAACAATAAACATACCATTTTTGGAAAGGTCAGTGTTCAGTTCTCATTTCAAAGATCCGCTTTTGTTTCTTATTAAGTTTTATATCTCCAAAATTTTTGGCTTTCTAACATTTGTGAATTGGTTATTGTTTCCTTTTTATTCACCTTTTTTTCCCAATGTTTATCAAATGGTCAAATTCTAACTGCTTATCTTCTAGGCCTGCAGGATTGCTCAGTTCTTTTTACTACATAGAAATTTTGTTGCAGCAAATAAAATTGACAAGTGGCCAGAACTTTTAAGGTTTTTTGCTTCTAAAGGATTTGGGGTTAAATTTTTTTTCTGAAACAGTTATAATCATATGCTACTTGTGATATGATTTAGTCTATTTTCCTAGGTGAATTTTTAGTGATGAAGTACAAGTCTCAACTAAAATCCCATCTTCTTCAGGAAGCCTCTCCCAACTCCTCTCAGTTCTAGTGCCTTCAGTGTGTTAATTTTTTCCCCCTGTTTATCCTATACATAGCTTCTTTGTACATATTTGTTTGCTTGTTGTCTCCCTTATTAGATTGTGAGCTCCTTGAGGGCAGGACTATCTTTTGCCTCTTTTTGTGTCTCCAGCATTTAGCACACTGCCTAGCACATAGTAGGTACTTAATAAATGTTTATTAGCTGATAGAATTTGACTGTTTATAATTAATTTTACTGATAGCATTATTAATGTTTAAAATGGAAGGAACTTTTTTAAAGTTGATTGATATATCATCTTTTCAGCATATTTGGATTCTATTCCAAAATGAATTCTTATTTAGAATTTATTAATCTCTGTATTCTTTGACTGAATTTTCAATAAACTTTTCTTTGAAGTCTCTGAACCACCGTACCAACTTCCATTTCCAGTTTTACAAGAAATTTTAAAAAAAAACCCAAAACCTAGCATTTTAGTTCCATGGGTCAGTAGCTCCCTCTGCTGGTATATTGTGATCCACTTGCCCGTCCTTTGATCAAAACTGGAATCTATGATCATCGTGGAGGAAAGCCATGTAAACACAGTAATTAAAATTAAATTAGAAACCCAAGACAAATGTTAAATGTTTTTAAACTGGAGAACAATGGAAACTCGAAATAAAGTTATCAGTCCTCATGAATATTGCTAGGTGGCCTAGAAGATAAGCAGTTAGAATCTCCTGCTCTGACCACTCTACTGAAGAGGGACTTGAGATTATAGATTTTGGGTGTTTTTTTCCTTTTTTAAAATGCCTATGGTTTGCTAATCCTGTTGGAATATTTGGGATTTCAGTGGTGAACATGAGATCATTGTTATACACTTGAACATCTTGTGTGTACTTTTATAAATTGACTGCTCTAAATCTGCTTTGTGGGACAGATTTTTCTCAGATTCTTAAGCACAAGTTTTTTGATGCATTGAAAAAAGTGCTATTCTAGTCAGGAAACTAATATTAAGTGCCTACTATGTTGCCAGGCAGTGTACTAACCACTGGGACATAAATTCTAAAAAGAAAGGCAGCCTCTGATTTCAAGGTGCTCACAGTCTAATAGGGGAAAGCAATATGTAAAAGAAAGCCAAGGAGGTAGAGAAGAACACACCTGTTGGAGTTGGAGGGGTATAATGGGGAAGTCAAAAAGGTCCAAAATGAGTGCTGCTGGAAAATCCAGGGAGGTCCCAAAGCAAGTGCTGTTGGGTGGGAAATGAGGAGATGTCCAAGATGTCTCCACTTCTCTGAGTTAGTTAGGAGAAGGTCATATTGAAGAGGTCATTTCAATGAAATTATTCCATTTATATATTTTTTCTTTTGAGGAAATAGTTTTGTTTTCCATATTAAATATGCATATACTTCAATGTTTTAATATTAAATACATCTTTTTATTTTAAATATTTGGAAAAACCTTAATCATTATTAACTATATTTTCAATATTTCCATTTGATAGGTAACAGGAGACACAGTATACAATATGCTGAGATTAACAGAAGTGGACATTAATGAAGAAGAAAGGCCACTTAATCCACATAGAATAAGAAATTGTGAGGTGGGTATTCAGGATACTTTTGATGAGGTTTGTACCTTGAATAAATTATCATCAATTTTTTTGAAACCTTTGGTTGAAGTAATAGATGTATGTGCATACATTACATACATATATATTTGTAATATTTCCAGATACTATATATGTATACGATATATGCATGCGTGTGTCTACATGTGCTTGACAATTAGGTGATGAATTCTTTGGTCTGGCCAAATCCAAGAAAAAGAAATGTGCCCCTCTGCTTGTTCGGTGACAGTGGTAGATTGGCAGAACAAAGATGAAGGGGGGCTGAGAATCACATGGTCTTTAAATATCCCCTGACTCTAAAATAGAAGCAAATACGAGTCCACATAAAATTAGGCATGAGACCCACATGAGCCACATCATTCTTTAAGAGAATTCTTAGGTGCAGCTGATTGAGGGATAACAAATAGATCTATAATGAAAAAGGTTTGCCAACATTTCTGTGATGCTCTGTTAATGAAACATGAACCATCACATTTTGATGGTTTCTTTAGTTTCCATTACAAAATATTGAAATTCTCAAATGAATCTCTGATGTCATCATTTAGAGAGTTCCTTCCAGTGGTGCATATTGCAAGTTGTCCATGTCCACCTATCCCATGCTACTCTTTTCATGTTCTCCCAATAGTTTTCTACAGGGGGTCCAGTCTTCCTGGTGTGATGGGAGCCTTTATCACTTTCTCCTCTTATCATGAGGGTACCAGTAGAGCCTTCTGGCTCTCCACTTGTCATTCCATGCTCTTGCCATGTGATTGGCCCATTTTTTCTTCCTGTCATAACATTCCTTAATGATGTTCTTTACTCCTTTAGAGTTGTACACTGGTTATATATTGCATTTTTTTCACACCTACCATATGCGTCACCACTACCCTCTGTAATACTCATCTTTAGTTCTTCAGACATAGTGATTTACCACATCTTGTTTCCATATAGCAACATATACATAGCAGAACACAAAATGAGGATTCTTTGTGAAAGTAGAATCTCTGTCTTTCTCAGTTTGCTTTAGAAAAAGCATAATAAATTCTATACATTACTTTCAGAACTATCTTGCTAGTCTGTGCTTTCCTCTGAGCTTCTTTTCTGCTCTCTTCTGTGCATTTTTAAAGAAATGTTTTAATGGTTCTTTCTTTCCTTTTTTTTTTGGCATCACTATTGCTACCCCATTTTCTGCTGATACATACTCACCCCATTAACTGAGAGAAAGAAAAAAACCCCTTATAACAAGTAAGTGTAGTCAAGCAAAAGAAATCCGCATAAATACTTGTATGTGACCCATAGAAAGTGTGAAGGATGTGAGAACTCTGGATCATCTTACTATGTTAAGTCCTATTCAGATTATTGCTCTATTTACTTCTTGAGTCTATATAAATGTGAAAAAAATGATTTAAAGAGATATAAGACAGATGGCTGGATAATGGAAAAATATTGCACTAGGGAAAAACTGAGAATTAAATAAGGTTGCTTATTTTAAATATTTTAAAATAGCCAAGTCATGTTTTAAATGTTACTTTTCCTAGGTTTTATTTAATCCTTTTGATGACATCATACCAAGAGAGAATAAGAAGCCAAAAAAGGACAAACCAGAAGATGAAGTAAAGAAATTAACAACTAAAGGCACAAAGTAATCACAATATAAGAATTTTACTCAAATGTGAAAAGTACTACTAACTCATCAACTTTCCTAATTTGCGGTAGTTGGTGGAAGACTAGTTTGAATTACTTCAAAATTAGAATTATAGAATGTTTTTAAACGTGGATTGAATGCTTTAAAATATGTAGTTAAAATCCAAGCTTATAAAGTTGCCTAATAGATGTTCTTGAAGAATTTGTTTTAGTGAGTAGATGGTAAAAATTTATAATTTATGACAAACTGTATGTAAAGGGATTCAGGCAAGTTGATTGAAAAGAGTTTGTGCTTTTAATCATTTTTTAGATTTCTTACACAGTGCTGTCTTCATCCTTAATTTACTTAGCAAATCTTTTGGGTTTGTTTCTTTAATCTACATTAAAAAGATAAACTTCCTTCTAGGCCCCATCACAAATTCAGAATAAATGAATTCTAATTATTAGGTTTTATTCTTCTACATGTATTGCAAAGCAAGTTAATAATCTGGCAGATATTAATAGGGATCAAATTGTAAAAGGACTCGTTATTGCATGATAACGTCTTACCTAGCTCAGAATTTAATTTATTTCTTTGCTTCATTCTGGCTAGTGTTATTTGTATGAAATGTCACCATTACTGACATTTGAATTGATTTTTCAGGGGATATTATAATAATTGCAAGTAAATTTTTTCTGACAATAAACAAGAGAGGCCTTCTGGCATAGGAGATGAAAGACCAGTCTCACAGCCAGGAAGAACTATGTTTAAGGCCCAGATTCTGGACAAGTCACTTAACCTCTCATTGCCAAAAGCAACTGTCTTAGATTATATGTTGCTTAATGGTTGCCAAATTGTATCTGGTAAAGGGCATTTCCTTACTGGGAGCTACCCTATGCCAGGGAAATTACAGGCCCAGACTAAATCAGTCAACCTACAAGTTACAGAATTGATGCTTTCACTGCCTCTACAGCTTGCAAAAAGCATTCCCTTCTAATGCTAATGATCTGTCAAGCCTTCTCCATTTCTTTATATCATTTTTCTCTAATAGTTGAAAAAAACAAGTTCAGATGAAAGAATGATAATTGCCATTTATTTTACTTGGTCTTTGAATTACAGAGCATTAACATTAAAAAGAGATGGTCTAATCCAGGGATTCTTAACCATGTTTTGGGTCATGGACCCCTTTGGCAGTCTGATGAAACCTATGAACCCCTTTCAGAATCATGTTTTTAAATGCATATAGTAAAATACGTAGGATTACAAAGAAAACCGATTAGAGTGAAATAAGCATGTAATTTTTTTTCCCATATGAGTTCACAGACCTCCCAGAATCCATCTACAAATCTCTTTAGGGGCTGTGGGCCTCCGGGGTCAAAAACTTCTAGTCGATTTCAACCCCTACATTTCACAAATGAGTGAGCTGAGGGCTAGTGAGCAAAGTAAATTGTTTCAAGTTAGAAAGCCAGTAAGAGGCAAAGCTACCTATGTCTTCTGACTTTTCCAGGGTTTATTCCATTAAACCTAATTGCCTTTCATTTTAGATTGAGGAATTAAGAAAGAAGAATAAGACAATTTTCCTGATTTCCTCCAATATCCATTTTTGCATGGCATTTTTGTTCATATACAATTTTTGCATAGCAGATTTTAATGAGTAAAATGAGATGTTACAGATTATTTTGGTACATAATGTATTGTTTTATCCTTTCGGGGTTTTTAGGGTAGGCATTTGCATATTTTCAAGAATTTCAATTATGTAACTAGCCATTTGGTAAGTTCAGAGATTTTTTAACTCTCTTGGAGTGATGATTATGTCAAAATATCTGATTATGTAGATCCTAGGGTGAATTTTGGTTTGGTTTTTGCAAGTTGAACTAACAACTTGAGAATATCTGTGCTCTGTGGCAAAAGCCTTATTTTTTTGTTTTCATTTAGGAAGTATTTAGTAAAGCAAATTCAGATAATAGTGCATTTCATCAAAATAAGGTATAAGTTTTATTTTTGTCAAATAGCAAGTACATGTTTGCTCTTGAAAATTTAAGTCTGTTTCTTGGCAACGAAAACAAGATACTTTTGAATGCTGTTTTATGAATCTTTTGCTTTTACTAGGAATTTTAGTTTACTTTCATTTGGAGAAGAAGCTGAAGAGGAAGAAGAAGAAGTAAACCGAGTTAGCCAGGTGAAATTGCAATTTGTTTTTTCTTTTGACTCATAATTCTTTTGATAACTTTTGGAAAATTTAAAATCTGTTTAGTCTATCACTTTTCTTTTTTCTTTTCTATCTAGTGAAGCGTCTTAAAGCTAGACACACACACACTGGCTTCTGGCTTTTCAGGAGTGCTGACTTCCAGACTTAGAGCTACAAATTAGGCTAAAATTGTTGGAGATATCACAAAGACCATTTTTTTCCTCCTTGTCCTATTTCCTCTAAAAGGGCAGAGGATAGTGCAGTTCTTAAATTTACCTTAAGAGGTGCATTTCTCAAGTCATTTTCACCTCTGTTCATTCACTCCTTTTAGATAATATGTGAAAATTGACAGCGGATGAAGATTTGGAATTCTAAACTCTATTGGACCTTTTTGAAGAAAAGTTGTGGCTTATGTGGAATTTACATGGGCCTCTTGGTTGGAAGAAAGCTTATCTGTTTAGTATTTGTGCATTTTACTAGATAGCATTGATTTGTATTTTATAAGATTTCTGTACTCTATCCTGCATTATCCTTAGGTATTTTATTTCTTGTATTTATATTGTAATAGAAGCTAGAAAACCTTGTTACTATTTTGAATGTATTTCAGATTCCTTCCTTCAGAAATTGAACTTTTCCAAATTAAAAATGGGAATGATTTGTTCCCTTTGCTTTATTGGTTTTTCTGTTATCACAGGGTGGAGCTTTTGTATGTGTGTGGATGTTTTCTCTCAGTGAAGGTGGCAGAGCCTTTCTTTACAAATTTTTTAACTTTTAGGAAGTTTCTGGAAACACATCTACCTAGATTTCGTCTCTTCCTCCAAAGTCTAACTAATTTAAAACTCCATCTACATTTAACAGAATAACAATTGGTACCAATGTTTGAATTTTTTAATCAATGCCGTTTATAATTTCCCCTTCCTACCATCAAAGATATCATCCATATTTGTCAGTGTATGCCACTTGCCTCCTCTCCGAGCAGATAATCTTGTCCTTACTTCACTGAGAAAATCCACATCATTTCTCATTCTTCTACTCTTCTTCTCAAAATGTCTTCCCTAATTGTTTCTCCTTTGCTCTGGGCTCAGAATTAAGTTGCTCTTCCTGCCAAGGTTTTATTTCTCCTTATCATCTGAATCTAATTGATCCCAATGTCTCTCCCTTGAGGAACAGGCCTCATCATTAATGAATCCTTTCATATCTTTCTCATTTTTCAGTCTATTTACTTGCTTCTTCTATACTTAGTTCTCCCAACCCTTAAAAGAATTTCCACTTGAGCCTAATGTGCACCCAGGCTATTGTCTTGTATTTCTATTTGCTTTCTCTTTTTAGAGGATCATAGATTTCAAGCTGGAAGCAAACTTGAAGAGTTATCTATTCCAACCTCATCATTTTACAGATGAGGAAACTGAGGCCTAAGTTGTGCCTGGAGTGCCCTGCCCAGAGTCACACAATGTAGTGAGTGGCTGAGCTTTGATTTGAACTCGGGTCCCATCACTCTAAGTGCAGTTCAGCATTCATTACCTGTTAAACTCCTAGAAAAAAGTAATCTTTACTATCTACCTTTTGAGATGTGGCTTTCAGCTCTAAAACTGCTCTCTCAATGATCATCAGCTAACATTTTATGTCTAAATTCAGTGACCTTTTCTTAATCTCTGTTCTCCTTGACTTTCTTGCAGTTTTTGATGCTGTTGACCACCTTGTCATATGTACTCTTGTCATCTGTGACACTGTTCTCTTCTGGTTCTCCTTCCTCTCTGCTGGGTCATCGCCGGCTTCCTGTCTTTTAACTGTGGGCGTCCCCAAGGGCTTTATCCTGATCTCTCTTCTCTCAATGATCTCATCTGCTCCCAGATATTCCTGTTCATCGATGATATTGTGCCCACTGCCTCTTCTAAGTGGGGATGTTCTCTAGGGTTCTTTCCTTGTCTCTTGTTCTTCTTTCTTCTTTGATGAGTTTGTCTGCTCCTAGATGATGCTGTGCTTATTGCATAAAGTTGTTGAATAATGCAGAATCTCTTCAGGCAAATTCTTGGCCACTCAAAAGAGACTGACCTGCCAATCCAAGCTTATGGCTCAGACTATGACATGAGTTAGTCTATCAGTACATCTATCTTGGACAGGATAATGGATTTGCAACCTGAATGCTTGTACCAGTGCCCGTGAAATTTTAAAAGGCCATATTGGGCAAGTACTCTGTGGAAGAGAATTTTATCAGAGTCCTGCCGAATACAGAAGTGTGGGTTAGATCTTCAGCTTTCGATCTGTGATGAGATCTCTGATCCATTGAAATATTGAGGCGTAATAACGTGAGGCAGAAGGGAATTTTTACATGAAACTTTATTAATCAGTAGGTCTTTTAAAAAATTCATTTCTGTAAGCTTAAATCACACATTTGAAATTTAATAACTTCAATATGAAAGTTAATTTCATTCATTTAAAAATACTTTTAATATAAAAAATTTTTGTAGGCAATTATTTTTCGGAATTGACCTCACTAAAAAATTAACTTGTATTTTCTTTTACTTTGCTATAACAGCATGTGTTTTGGAAATGGAACTTATCTGCTTTTTCCTGCTGCACTTGGTTACTGTTCCATGAAATGGAAAAAAAATATATATATATATATATACACTTAAGATCTACTGAATATTGTACACAGTGTGCTATAAAAGCAATTTGTCCCAACTAAGCTTAAAGGGGATAAGAATGCTACTATGTATGACATGTTACTTCCAAACTCTAGAACATTTTTTTCTTTCTTAAAAATACGAAAAATTACTATAATCTATTGAAAGATTGAATACAATTGTTCTTCTTCAATGAGGATATTAAAAGCCAGTGTTCTAGCAAGTAATTGGCTTGACAACTCATCATGTTATCCTATGTTATGTTTCATTGTCATAAAAACTGGTGAAAAGGCACTGTGCAAGGGAAAGCGTTATTATGAATTATTTTATTATTTTGATACTAGTCACAATTAATAGAAATTTAATGGAAAGCTAGAGGTAGCAACTAGAAAGTATGTGGTATAAGAGAAGGAAAATATTCTTGGGTGGAATATTTTCTCAAGGGATGGATGATAGGATGAATTGATATAATACTGTATATTTTCTCTCTGTAACCACCACAGAAACATGAGGTTTTGTGTGTATATGTGTGGGTATGTGTGTATATGTACAGTAAAAGATAGTCAGTTGGAGAGAAGTTCTGCTTGAATTTGTGAAAAGTCTTAGGAATGTTTTAAAAAGAAATTGAGCTATATTCTTTTTCAGGTAGCTATGCTAAAAATATCTAGACTAAACTAAGTGTTAGCTTCAATGAATCACTTTTGTCTTTGTACTCCCAGTGCTTCTCATAAAGTAGATTAGTTGTAAATGATTACTTAATCTTTTGGAGTTGGTTAAAAATGTTTTTTAATTAATCTCATTTAAAATTCTTTGCTGACATTAAGATTACATTATTTAGACATAAATGGATATTTCAGAACAATTTGAGATGACTTTATTTCATTCTTTTACTTAGGAAGTTCATTTTTTCATCAGTGGTTCAGCGGTAAACCTCTGCCCACTGACCCTGTTTAAACGATCACAAATTAAGAATGAATAAAGCTTGAACTCGACTTTACTGTATAAAAATAAGAAAGATGATATAGGGATATTCAGCATTTTGTTGCAGAGACTTCTTCATCTGATTCTGTCAAATCATAATTTGACTTCCTTTACCTTTGAGTTCCCTGAGGTTTTTTTCATTCTTTACTCAGTTCTTCTCTACTGTCTCACAAAGTTTTTGTATAGAATATTATAGAGATCATTTCATCCAACCTCATCGTTTTACAAATGAGAAAACTGAAGTTCTAAGACATTGTGACTTGTCAAATGAATCTGATTTCCATTATTTTTTTTAGTAGTCTTACTAAACGAGTACGTTAGGGGAATGCAATAAACATATACTTGACTTCATAAAGAATTTGGCAGTGTTTTTCGTGACAGTCTTATAAAAAAAAGAGAAATGTGCTTAAATAATACGATAGGTTGGTTTTATTAGCAGGAAGCAATGTGGCACACAGAGGAAGCTTGGTGTGGTTTATATAAAACAGCAACACTGGGCTTGGAGTAACAATTATTGGGATTAGAAAATCATTAACTAGGTGGCTAAGAATCAATCTCTCATACTTTCTGATCTTCAGGTCCTTCATTTCTAAAATGGAGTTGGTAATATTTACCATTAGCTGTGAATATGAACTATCATTTCAATTCAAACATTTATCAGGTACCCTGCTTGTATAATCAAGAAGTATTTTTAAAAATTATAATAGGCAAAAATGCAGGCTTTAGAGTCAGGAAGATCAGGGTTCAAATCATCTCTGACATTATTAACTGTGTGACCTTGGACAGGTCATTTAACCCATATACCTTAGGCAATTCCCTAAGACTTTAACTACTAAATCATAGATAGGTTATGATCTGCTTTGGTTCAGGGAATTTGCAGAAGAACTTCCTAGTGTAGGACTCCCTATTATTGGTGAAATTATAGCTTATGCATATAAAGCTTTGTGCTAGGCGCTGGGAACACAAAGGAAAAAAAAGTACGAAATCCTTATCATCCTTAGAGCCTCCATCTATTAGGAAAGAGCAGATGAGAAGCTAGAGGCAGCTAGGTGGTTCGGTGGATAGAGCCCTGGGCCTGGAGTCAGGAAGACCTGAGTTCAAATGTGGCTTCAGACATTTACTAGCTGTGTGACCCTGGGCAAGTGATTTAACTTCTGTTTGTCTCAGTCCACTGAAGAAGAAAATGGTAAACCACCAGTATTTTTGCCAAGAAAATCCCGTGGAGGGTATGGTCCATAGGGTCACAAAAAGTCAGACACAACTGAACAACAAGAAGATGGAAAATTATGCTATCTATTCAGATTCATTTAATATGTTGGGGGAAGGAGAAATCTAGAAAAAATGTTCTCAGGAAAACTGTGAGAGGCTAGGTAATTGAACTAAAGTCCTTTGATTGAATGATGTGCTGCAGAGCCCTACCTTGACCCTGGTTAACATTTTTGTCAGTGACCATTCTTTAGCTAGTGTACAACATGAGAGAGATCAGAATGGGGTGACTTAGTCAGAGAAAGTTTGGGGGGGTCTTAAAAGAAATGTTAAACATTGATCATTGTTGATTAGAAAGGGATTAGGCGGGGAAAGTGATATGAAGAATACTGAAGATTTTGTTTTTTCATTATCTTAGACAGATATACATATGTATGTGTATGTATATCTACATACATATATGTCTATACATCTATAGCTACACATCCACACACATATACATATGTGTATATATGTATATATACATACAACTTATAGTTGTAAACATACAGGCATACCTTGTTTTATTATACTTAGCTTTACTGCACTTCACAAATATCATGGCTTTTTACAAATTAAAGGCTTGTGGCAATCCTTCATCAAGCAAGTCTATCAGTGCCATTTTTCCAATAACGTTTATTCACTTTGTGTCTCTGTGTCACATTTTGGTAATTCCCATAATGTTTCAAACTTTTTCTGTATTGTATCTATTATGGTGATTTGTGATCTGTTATCAATGATCCTTGATGTTACTATTGTAATTGTTTTGGGGAGCCACAAATCATACCCATATAAGATGGCAAACTTAATTGATAAACGTTGTATGTGTTCTGAGTGCTCTACCAACCTGCCATTCCCCTCTCTTTCTCCCTCTCCTCAGGCCTCCCAATTCCCTGAGACACAACAATGTTGAAATTAGGCCAATTAATAACCCTACATTGATTAATCAATAACCCTGAGTGTTCAAGTGAAAGGAAGAGTCAATTGATATGGCAAACTTCATTGCTGTTTTATTTTAAGAAATTGCCACAGTCATCTTAGCCTTTAGGAACCATCCCCTTGATCAGGGAGCAGCCATCAAATTGAGGCAAGACTTCAACCAGCAAAAAGATTATGACTTGCTGGAGGCTCAAGTAATGGTTAACATTTTTGGCAATAAAGTATTTTTTAAGTAAGATATGTACATTGGTTTTTTAGACATAGTATTCTTGCACACTTAATAGACTAGAGTATAGGGTAAAACACAACTTTTATATGCACTGGGAAGCCAAAAAATTTGTGTGACTTTCTTTATTGTGATATTTGCTTTATTGTGGTGATCTTGAACCGAACCTGCAATATCTCTAAGGTATGGCTATATTGTGTATGTTTTAAATAGCATATTTTACATATATACACCAATATACATATATACATATATATTTACAACTATAAGTATTTTATTTATGTAGCACCTTATGATTTGCAAAGTGCTTTCATATCCTTCATCTCACTTGACCCTTACAATGACCCCTGAAGTAACAGGAAAATAATAGTAAATCTATTTTTTTATACAAACTTGGAAACAGACTTTGAAAGATTAAATGTATTTCCTGAAAGTCACATGACTGCTGGTAGAGCTGGTAATAGTGGCTGGTGAAGTATTGCCTTTTCCACTATACCATGCTGCATTTTAGTGAACGTTTTTTCATTTTTTCCACTATTTAGTATTGCATAAATATAATTAGAAAATAATTCAATGATAATTAATCTGTCTGTTCATCACTACCAAGTCTAAGCATGGGTTTAAAATTATCTTTTATACCTAAATCCATTGTATTTTTCAAGTTCCCTTCTAATGTTAGCCAAGATGTATTTTCTTACCATTGATCAGACCATATCTGGTCACTGCAGAACAACCTAGATGAGGTCCGAGACATGGCACCAAGAAGCTGGCCATTGCATACTGGTTTGCTTTCCTCATGCCAGAGTGGAATTCCAGATTTGGATTCCCAGGACCTGGTTCAACTTCTGGCTCTGTGACTCTGGGCAAATCATCCAGCTGTTCTGGACTTTAGTTTCCTCATCTGTAATGAAGAAGTGGGGCTTTATGATCTCTGAGGTTCTTTCTAGGACTAAATATATGATCCAATGATCCTAATTATTCTAAGATCAGTTACTAAAGCATGAAAAGATGGTAGTAGATGTAGGTATGTTAGTGTAAGGAGTACATGTACTAATGAATTGAAATAAGTATTGAGGAATAATGCCATATTTTCAAATAACTGTGTAAAATGAAGTAGTTCTTTTGAAATTATTGCAAAGTAGATAGTTATTGATTAGATCAATAAAATGTCCAGAATTTATTATCCCAAAGAATTTAACTTTCACATTTAAAATTAATATCCATTAAGTATTTATTAAACACCTAATATATACCAGGCATTATATATTTGGGCAGCTGTGCTAACTGCCACCCCTTTCTGCTACTGGCTTATCTCCTTATTGATTTATCTCTTTCTGGGTTCAAAGGCAATATAGTAGATTGCTCTGTAATATTCTCAGTCAAATACCAAAATTGCCAAAACTCTTTCTGTAACGACTGTGGTCCCTGCTCTAGAGTAAAATCAGGGAAATTCTTTTTTTCCCTCCATGGAATAGTTTCCCTTCTCTCAGTCTTGAACCACAAACATACTGTTAGACAAAATCACTGTTAATGTCTGCGTAATTTATTAGCAAGCTTAGGTAATTTAGAAATACAAATAAACATTTAAACAAGGTTTTGAAGGCTATGTTACTTCTTTCTCTATCTTCTACTCCTTCCTTCTAGCCATTCTGAGAGGGATTTTTGAAGATGGAGAATGAGATTTAATTCTGGTTAGAAATTTCCCCAGCATTGTGCTCTGGGAAAACAGGGTAAAGATAGGAACCCTCAACTGGACTTTGTCACTCTTGTTCTTGCTGGTTAGAGGGCAGAATTGTTTTTGTGGTGCAGTTTTGTGAAAGCCCTCAGTATGGTTAGGCAAGGGAGACTCTGTGGACTTAGCATGCATTTTTCTGACTCTGGGTTGATGTTTTGGGGTTGCAGGTGCCTTCAGGAATCCAAAGAAGCAGGAAAGTATTTCCCTAGTGGGTACAGCTTCAGTACAGTATTATGTTTGCTGGCCAGAGCATCATTAAAAAGAATTGATAATATGGAAGCAGAAGAGTATGATTGCTACAAAGGAGTGAGAATCCAAGGATAAATGATTTGTCAAAGAAGCTGTCAGGAAGGACGATATTTATTTGGATTTATAGGCTCTGTTATGTTTATTTAAAAATCAGTTTTATTACTTTAGAGGTATGAGGGGGATCAGGAAAAGTTTCATTTAGAAAATGGTACTTGAACTGCATCTTGAAAGAAGGTATTGTTTGATTCAGAGATGAAGAGGTAGTGCATTCCAGCCAAACATGGGACATGGCCAATGCAAAAGCACAGCGATGGAGGTGGCATGCCGTGCATGAGGAATAGGGAAGAGGCCAATTTGGCTGCATCTTAAAATGTGGGAAGGGGAATAATGTATAATGAAGCTGGCAAGAACTTGGAGTCAGGTTGTGAACAGCTTTCAAAGCCAGAGGACTTTGTTATCCTAGAGATGTTCAAGGTCATCCAACTACTAAGTGACAGAACTAAGATTTGAAACCAGGTCTCTTTTGATGACAAGTCCAACACTCTTGGGACCATACCATGCTATGCTTTTGGTGGTAAACTCTGCTCCATTCATAATATAATTTTTATTAAATCTTACTTTTCAGAGCATGAAGGGAAAAAGCAAAAGTAGTCATGACTTGCTCAAGGATGATCCACATCTCAGTTCAGTTCCAGTTGTTGAAAGGTTAGTTATCACACTGGTGCAATGTCAAGTTCATGTATGTGTGGGGTTTTTTTTTGGGGGGGAACGACATATGTTGCTTGCAGTATTTAAATTCCCTTTTTGTAGTGTCATTGATCTCTCAAGTGTACGTAATCTTAAATTTTGTTTTCTTCACTTATCGGCAGTTCATCAAACTTGTGTTTGAATTTCAAATTGGAGAGAAAAACCTCCTAAACTCTCTCCTTCTGTTATTATTGCTATTGAACTCACAAAACAAATTGTTTTAATTTTAAAGCTTTGTAAAATGTTTTCTTTATTCAGCGTTTTCTTCAGAAATTTGATGTTTAATTAAAATCTGGTTTGCTGCAGTGGTGATGTAGTTGAACTAAATTTTTCATAAAAATTGTTTCAGCTATATTAGTGTTTTCATTAAAGTATAACGCTTGAATCTCTCTTCTAAGAACAAGCAGTCATGTTTTGGTCTAAACCATTGAATATTATTTTTTGCCCTCTGGAGTACAACAAATTATGGTCTGTGTTGCTTCCCTTTGGGGATGAAGGATAGCTTTTGATTAGGTTCTCTCTGATTAGCTGGTACTTGATTAGTTGAATGACTATTCAGTCTATTTTTCTATGTCAAATTCTTTTCACATCTTACTTTGGTGATCCTGTTAAATGCAGTCTTCCCTAATAGGTACTGTGCTTTTATTCAGACTGTTCATTGGGTTGTGGCCCAAGAAATGCTGGAACTTAAGCATTTAGGCTACAGTTGAGAGAGGGAGTAAAGTGCTAGTTTCTTAAGGTTAACACATTTTAAAAAGTCTTACTTGGAGCAAAACATTTAAGAATATGTGAATCGAAAGAATATTCTTTAACTAGAATTGATACAATAGGAGCTCTTTCCAAAGATTTTTCAACATGTTGACATTAGAAATGTCCTGGACCCTCAGTCTGGTTCAGTAACATAATAAATCTGTTTTACAGTTTCTTTCTCTTCTCACAAGTCAGCAAGCTTCATTTGTGTGAGTAAAGAGTGACCACCATTGAACAGTAATAACTTAATGAAGCTTCTTTAATTGTGTATCAGTTTTGGCATGCGTATTCAAAAACAAGACCCAAGTAAAATGAGTATGGTTGATCTGATGTGTCTGGAAAGTAGGCTGTACTTTTTTCATTTGTTTAGTATTTTTATTAATTTCAGGGAGAATCTGAAATTTATGTGTGTCTTCTATTTCCTTTTAGTGAAAAGGGCACAGATTCAATGACAGGAGATTCAGATGATGTGAGTAATAACTTTTTTATAAAGAGTTTTGCACTGTTTGTAGATGGCTTAAATTTCAAATGTAATTAATTTTGTAATATTAATGTAAATGTCCATGGTTAGATGTTTTACATGAAGTATTTGTAAAATGTATGTGAGAAATAATAGCTTCAGTATTTTTTCTTTGAGCTATTATTCTACTTGCATACACACAGTTTTGCATTTTAGGTTTGTCACCCAGGAGTTTATTAAGATTTAAATTTTAAAAATAAGTTGGTGATGACCATATGACTAAAAAACTGTAAAGGTCATTTTTCTTTTAATATGTGAATAGGCAAGGCCCTTTAAGTCAGTGAAATGTAGCTATTTAACAAGTAGAGAATTCTTTTGTACCTGAGCAGGAAGTATCAATTATATATTCTTAGAAGGAAAAGCTTTGTCTTTTTTTTCTTTATATCATTCATCAACAGTTTCTAGCACAGTGATGCAATCATAATAGATCAGTGAATGTTTGTTAAATGAATGAACATGTGTTTTGTGGCCAGCAGTGAAACACCATAACCTCTATTCATTAAAAACAATTTATTGGAAAAATGTTATACAACATACATAAGAAATGAATAGTGTGTAAAATATTTATCTTTTTTCTCAGTGCTTGTTGGGGTAATTGTTACCTACGCAGATATTAAATTGTATTCTCTAGAATGAAGATGAATGTGAAGAAGATGAAAATGATAGTGATGAAAAGAATCTAATGAAAGAGCGAATTGCCAAAAAATTGAAAAAGGATAGAAGTGAAAATGTTAAATCTGCTAAAGAAATAGATAAAGAAATAGAGAAGAAATCACCTAGCCGCAGGTAAGTCAAACATGTTTATGATTTCAGTATATCTTTGAGGAAACCTCATTCTCTTTCTCTGACGACATTTTAAAATAAAGCTGCATACATTGCAGCTGTAATGAAAATATCTTATTTTAATGATTGGTCATTCTTTGCCTTGCCTGCTTACATGTGTGTACAGTCTCAATGAGAAGTTATATATGTTGTGCGAATTTAGTGCTTGTACACTATATTGTCAATCAATCAATATTTATTAAACCCTTTACCCCACACAATACAAAATTAAGACCAAAGACCAAGACAAAAAAAAACCATAAAAAACCCTTGTTACAAACAAGAATAGTTGAACAAAATGAAGCCACACAGTGGCCTTGTCCAAAAATATGTTTCTTTGTGCACCTTGAGTACAACAATGCTCTGTCAAGAAGTAACATGCTTTATCCTGTATTCTCTGGAGACATAGTTGGTGATACTACATTGAAGAGAGTCCTTAAATCTTTTAGAGTTGGTTTTCTTTACAACGTTATTGTAGTTGTATACATTGTTCTTCTGTTTTCTGCACTTTACTCTGCATTAGTTCATAGTATCCTGGATTCTCTGAAATCATCTCTTTTGTCATTTTACCACTCGCTAATATTCTAACTACATTTATATTCCAGGATTTCTTTATTCATTCCAAAATTAATAGGTACTACTTCAGATTCTAATTTTTTCTTTTTTTCCCTTTAACTCACCACTTCAAGATCAAGAAGTTTGTTTTGCTTACAGCTTTCTTTCCCTGGTGTTATCTATCGTATTGCCCTGCTTCCCCGTTTGTTTCCCTGTTGAATTTGATATATTTCTGCATTAAAATATTTGTATATGTGTGTTCAACCCTTCTTTTTTCATTTCAGATAAGAGTGAGTCTCATCTAATGCCCATTCCCCCTCCTCGTTCCTCCATGTTTCTATACTCTTCTTACTTACTCCAATTATGAAAAATAGCAAGTTCTACTCTCATTTTTCTCCTTTCTCTACAGTATTATTTTTACTTTCCCTTTTTTTTCCCCTTTGGAAACTGTCAAAACAGAATCAAAACAGAACCAATCTACTGTCAGGTCCTCTTTTTTCCTTGTTTAACTCCCTAAATACCCTTTGAAGACATTAAAGTTCTGAAGGGACAATTGTTACTTCCCGCCCTACCTTTCCAGTATTCTTACACCTTATACCTTTCCACATTCACTTCAATCCAGGGACACTGGCCTTTTAGCTGTTCCTTGCACGTGACACTCCATCTCCCAACTCCATGTATTTGCATCGGCCATCTCCCATGACTGAAAATCTCTCCCTCCTCAACTCCCTTACTAGTGTCCATGAATTCTTTTAAGTCTCAAAGTTCCATCTTCTGCAAGAAGCCTTTCCCACTCCCCCTAATTTATAATACTTTCCCTTTGATGATTATCTCCAATTTATCCTCTATATATTTTGTTTGTACATAGTTCTTTGCAAATTGTTTCCATCATTACACTGAAGGTTCTTGATAGCAAGGACTGTCTTACCTTTCTTTGTATCCCTTGTGTTTCACACAGTGCCCATCACATAGTAGGTGCTCAATAAGTGATAGTAAACTAGCTACATCATCATACAACACCTTCCAAATTCCCAAATAAATTTAGCTTTCTAGATTTCTCTGGACTGTTGTTTGTATTTCAGAGTTCCTACTTAGCTTTTATCTTTACATCAGAAAGGCTTGAAAGTTCTCTAGTCCATTTTCCCCCTTGTAGGATTATATCAAGTTCTACAAAGTAAGTTATTCTTGTTATAAGTATATTTTTTGCCTTTTGAAATATTGTATTCCCAGTTCTCCTCTGATTTTTAAAATTTATTTATTTATTTTTAGTTTTCAGTATTCACTTAAACAAGATTTTGAGTTCGAAATTTTCTGCCCATCTCCTCCCTCCTCCCACCCCAAGATGGTGTGCATTCTGAATACCCCTTCCCCTAATCTGCCCTCCCTTCTATCTCCCCCACCCCTTTATTCCCTTCCCCTTCTGTTTTCCTGTAGGGCAGGATAGATTTCTCTACCCCATTGTCTGTATATTTTATTTCCCATCTGCATGTGAAAACAATTTTTAGCATTTGTTTTTAAAACCTGGGGTTCCAAATTTTCTCCCTTTCTCCCTCATTGAGAAGGCAAGAAACTCGATATGGGTTATACATGTGTAGTCATGCAAAACACTTCCGTAGTAGTCATGTTGTGAAAAACTAACTATATTTCCCTTCATCCTATTCCGCCCCGCATTTATTCTATTCTCTGTTTTGACACTGTCTCTCCTCAGAAGTGTTTGTTTCTGATTACCCCCTCCCCCAGTCTGTCCTTCCCTCTGTCATTCCCCTCGCTTTCTTATCCCTTTTCCTCCTATTTTCCTGTAGGGTAAGATAGATTTCCATACCCAATTGAGTGTGTGTGGTATTTCCTCCTTAAGCCAAATCTGATGAGAATAAGATTCACTCATTCCCTCTCCCCTGCTTCCGCTCTACTGGAAAAGCCTTTTCTTGTCTATTTTATGTGAGATAATTTACCCCATTCTACCTCTCCCTTTCTCCTTCTCCCGGTATAATCCTCTCTCACCCCTTAATTTTATTCTCCAGATATCACCCTTTCATTTTCAACTCACTCTGTACCATCTATCTATCTATCTGTCTGTCTATCTATCCATATAATTGTTTTTTCCCTCCAACTACCCTAATACTGACAAAGGTCTCATGAGTTACAAATACCATCTTTCCATGCAGGAATGTAAGCAGTTCAACCTTAATAAGTCCCTTATGATTTCTCTTTCCTGTTTACCTCTTCATGCTTCTTTTGAGTCTTCTATTTAAAAGTCAGATTTTCTATTCAGCTCTGGTCTTTTCATCAGGAATTCTTGAAAGTCCTCTGTTTCACAGAATATCCATTTTTTCCCTTGAAGGATTATACTCAGTTTTGCTGGGTAGGTGATTCTTGGTTGTAATCCTATCTCCTTTGCCCTCTGGAATATTATATTCCAATCCCTCCATTCCCTTAAGGTAGAAGCTGCTAAATCTTGTGTTATCCTGATTGTGTTTCCATAGTACTTGAATTGTTTCTTTCTGGATGCTTGCAATATTTTCTCCTTGACCTAGGAACTCTGGAATTTGGCTGTAATATTCCTAGGAGTTTTCCTTTGGAGATTTCTTTCAGGAGGTGATTGGTGGATTCTTTCCATTTCTACTTTACCCTCTAGTTCTAGAATATCTGGCCAGTTTTCCTTGATAATTTCTTGAAAGATGATGTCTAGGCTCTTTTTTCAAAAACTGACTTTCACATAGTCCAATAATTTTTAAATTTATCTCTCCTGGATATATTTTGCAGGTCAGTTGTTTTTCCAGTGAGATATTTCATGTTGTCTTCTATTTTTTCGTTCTTTTGGTTTTGTTTTACAATTTCTTGATTTCTCATAAAGTCACTAGCTTCCATTTGCTCCATTCTAATTTTTAAAAAAGTATTTTCTTCAGTGAGCTTTTGGACTTCCTTTTCCATTTGGCCAATTCTGCTTTTGAAGGCATTCTTCTCCTCATTGGCTTTTTGACCTCTTTTGCCATTTGGGTTAGACTATTTTTTAAGGTGTTATTTTCTTCAGTATTTTTTTTTTGGTCTCCTTTAGCAAGCTGTTGACTTGTTTTTCATGATTTTCTTGCATCACTCTCATTTCTCTTCCCAGTTTTTCCTCTACTTCTCTTACTTGCTTCTCAAAATCCTTTTTGAGCTCTTCCATGGCCTGGGACTGATTCATATTTTTCTTGGAGGCTTTGGATGTAGGAACTTTGACTTTGTTGTCTTCTTCTGGTTGTATGTTTTGATCTTCTTTGTCATCAGAGTAAGATTCTGTGGTCTGACTTTTTTTTGTGCAGCTTCTTCATGTTCCCAGCCAATTACTTGAGTTTTAAACTCTTACTTTTTTTTTGGGGGGGGGGCTAGGCAATGGGGTTAAGTGACTTTCCCAGGGTCATACAGCTAGTAAGTATTATGTGTCTGAGGCCGGATTTGAACTCAGGTCCTCCTGAATCCAGGGCTGGTGCTCTATCCACTGCGCCACCTAGCTGCCCCCAAGTTTTAAACTCTTTGTTAAGGTAGGGGTCTGCTTCCAGTATGGAGAATGTACTGTCCAAAGCTTTGGGGGTTTTGTGCAGCTGTTTTCAGAGGTATTTCTAGGGGACCTGTAAATTTTCAGTTCTTCTAGGATGCTATGATCAAGGGCGAGGTGTTTACTGTTTTTCTGGCCTGTGCTCTGGTTTATGAGTAACCACAAGCACTCTTTTCTGTCTGGGAACTGTGAGGAGGATTCTCTCTTTACTGTCACTATAAGCTCCACCATGCCAACACTCCTCCTCATGCCAGGACTACCGCCCAGAACTGAGCCCCAGCTCCAGGTACGGGGAAAGCAAGAGAATACTTCCTCAGCACCAGCAAAGAGATCCCTACAATCCCCCTCTGATCTGCTACTTGATTCCCCCTCAGTCTGTGAGCTGAGAGCTCTGGAAGCAGCCGCCAACCCAGCGCTGCTCTGGGACTGGGGCTGGCACCAAGCTTCTCTCTCACTGTGGTCATAGAACTTTCCTACTGTCCTTCTAAGTTGTCTTTGGTGTTTGTGGGTTTAGAAGTCTGGAAACCACCACAGCTGCCTGCAATTCAGTCCTCTGAGGCCTGCTCCAGGTTCGCTGAGGCCTGGTCTTCGCCTGTACACCAATGCTGAACTGCATTCCTCTCCCAGCCTGGCACAAAAAACCTTTCCAATCAACCATCCAGGTCGTCTGGGGTTGGAAATTTGTTTCACTCTTCTTTTTGGGTATTCTTCTGCTCTAGAATTTATTTAGAGCCATTCTTTATAGGTATTTGGAGGGGCTTGGGGGAGAATTCAAGCAAGTCACTACTTTTACCCTCTCCTCTGATTTTTAGTAGAAGCTGTCAAGTCCTGTGTAAAGCTGACTGTGGTTCCTTGGTACTTGAACTGCTTCTTT